GTGACCCGAGGAAGAAGAAGATGTCGGGGGCGGAGCTTCGGGGGTCTTCCAGTCGCGTGGCTCGGTGAGGGGGCTGCCGACGAGGTGCAGGAGCTCGGGAGCCAGTCAGGGAAGCGAGGGGGAGGCGGTGGCTGCGGTGGTGCACGTCGGCGGCGGCGGCGCGTTCGGGTGGTGCGAGGGAGAGAGCCACAGGAGGGGACGAGGCCGGGGGAGAGTGAGAGGGGGTCGAGAGGGCTGTGTGGTGTCGTCTGGAGCCGTCCAGGCCGTCGAGGAGGCAGGCGAGCAGGGTGGAGGTGGCGCGCGCGTGCCCCATGCCCAGCTTCTCCTCTGCCTACTGGCAAGAGGTAGAAGACGAGGCTGCCCCTGGTGGGCTGGGCCGCCAGATGTGCTGGCCAGCTGGGCTGTAACAGCGCCAGGCCAGGTAAGCCAGGTGGGTTTCTCTCTGTGCTCTAGTTTCTGTTTTATTAATGTTTTCTATTATTCTGTAAACTTTAGGGCTTTATTAAAAATGCGAGGGCATTACCAAAAATCATGAAACTGCTCCATGTCACTATTTGGAATATTTCCAACAGTAAACATTTCAGTTTGTGATTATTTGAGCATTTAAAATATTATGAGCAATTAAATGCCCAAATGCAAATACTATATAATTTAATTCAAAAATCCAGGATGGCCTAGAAATATGTTCATCATTTTTGGAAGAGGTTTTCACCTTTAACAGAAATCATGAACATTTCCAAAGGGCATTCTGGGTTATTGAAAATATTTTTATTGAACCTAGTTAAATTTCATTTGGTTCTAGGGTTTCAACAATCCCCATTTCAAATTTCTTTGGAATTTAAACATGATGGCATGATGAACAAGCAAAGTCAAGCAAGGGCTGAACTGGGGCTGTGACATGTCACCCTCGGCACTCGATAGTAACTCTGCAAAGTCGTACAACTAGGGGGGTGATGTGCGGTGTCAGGGCCTGGACGTCGATCACGTTGATCGAGTCATCGAACATAAGGTGGGGCAATTGGGACAAGGTGGGGGGGTCACGGATGGATCACTAACCAACCTATACTAAGCAGTTTAGGATAAGCAGGTAAGGTACAATGAGAAGGTTACAAAAGTAGGCTATGCATCAGAATAGGAGCAATCAATTACAGTAGCAAAATCTAATGCAAGCATGAGAGAATGGAATGAGCGATATCGGGATGATCAAAGGGGAGGGGGGGCTTGCCTGGAAGCTCTGCTGAAAAGGAAGAAGTGTCATCAGAGACATAGTCGATCACAAGGGCATCATCGGTCTCGGGGTCTACCGGAGAGAAGAGGGGGAAGAAACTATAAATATAAAGCAAACAAAGCATCATAAAGCATGACATGATGAAAAGCAGAACTAGGGTCGACCTAACAAAGTGTTGCACGGTAAAGGTGAAGGGGGGATTCAATCAGGAATGTTTTCCCAGTTTCGGACCTGTGTCAAACTAATGACCGGAGGGGGAATGTTCCATGTTCAAATAGTTAGTGGCGTCTGATAGGTAAACGGACCGCTTATTCGGATTCGTCTCGTCGTTCTGAGCAACTTTTATCTAGAAAACATTTTCATCCGAGTTACAGATTAATTTCTATGATTTTTCAAAGTTTTAAACATATTCTGAAATGATTTTAATAACAGAAAAAGAGTTATTGCGTCTGTATGACGTCAGCAATGCGTCAGCATTCGGCTGACCTGCTGATTGTCAAACTGGCAGGTGGGGCCCACCTGTCAGCCACTCTAGGTTAAACAGTGGGTTAAACTAATCTAACAGACTAATTAGAGGGGTGGGCCCCAAGTGTCAGCGACTAACTTATTACTAATTAAATAACAGATTTTAACTAGCAGTTTTATTTATTTATAAAAACGTTTAAACTAGTGGGGCCCGCATGTTAGTGGGTTAGAGTGCCCAGTCAGCAGTTGACCCAGTCAACAGGGTCAACTGGGCCCATGGGGCCTAGCGGAAGTGTCACAAGGGGCCCACTTGTGAGGCCACGTCGGCGACGACCGGAGACTCGACGCCGGCGACCAAAATAGCGGCGAGGCTCGCCGGACTTCGCCGGAAATCGCGCACACGGGGTCTTTTGGTGCGGGACTTGGCACGTTCGAACGGGCGCACGAAGGCGCGTCAACTGGGGGCGGTGGCGTCGCCGGAGTTGGCCGGAGCAGCGCCGACGAGCGGCGAGGGCGGGGGTCGTGCTCGGGCAACGATCAGGATGGTGCTACGGGGCACGGCACGGGATGCGGTCCACGACGCTGGGCTACGGGGAGCGAGCTGAGCACGAGGCCGTGTTCGGCTGAGCTCGCCGGCGGGTGTGGCCACGACGACTATGAAGCAGGGCGGCGACGAGCTACGACGATGTTGCGTGCTAGCGGCAGGGGGCCGAGATGCGCTAGGAGAAGCAAAGGAAGGGGGAGGCGGAGCTCACCTTGGGGGCACACAGGGGCCCGATGAAAGATTAGGAGCAGCAGGAGGTGCCGGGGTCGGAAGAGACGGTGGGGCTTCTCGGGCCCGATGTCGAAGACGACGTGTAGGGATCGATGCCGGGGCCCTCGACTCGGTCTGGTTGGCGAAGATGAAGCAGGGGATGGTGGCGGTCCTCCTGGGCACGGAGGAAGGGCGCGGGGAGGCTGTCGATCACGGCGGGGCGAGGTGGCCGGCGATAGGGGAGCGCGGCCGTGCAGGGAGGGCGAGGGGAGAGAGAAGGTGGATCTGGGGAAGGGAGCGTGGAAGGGAGAGGGAGGCAAGTGAGAGAGGGGAGACCAGAGGAGCCCGAGGCGTCGCCCTTATCCCCTCGGGGCGGCGCCGGCGAGGCTGGTCCGACGGGGACGAGCTCCTGTTCGGGCGCGGTCGTGAACCGGAGAAGACGACTGAGGGGAAGATGGGCTGGGCCTGGTTAGGTCAGAGGCCCAGCGAGGGGGAGGGTGGTCCCCTTTTTATTTTCTTGTTTTAGTTTTTTACCTTTTGTTTATTTTCTTTGAGCCACTAAAAGAGTTTTATTTAACACAAAACTTGGCACAAAAATACAAGGCAATAACATGGGTTGGTACAAAAGGTTTCAAAGCATTTGGGAGTGTTCAACTATTTTTAGAAATCAAAAAGTTCAAATAATTGGTTGTTGGTCCACTGAATAAATTTTCAGGGACACTGTGTGAATCCAAAAGAGGCTGGTTCCAACATGACAATGATCAGGTGAATTTAAAGAATATTGTGAACATTTTAGATTTGACATCTGAAAACTTTTATTTTCGATTCTGTTTTAGATTTGAATTTGAACCGGTTTCGAACCAACGTGAGTTTAAGAACAGTAATCGTGGTGACATGACACCATTAGAAGAGGATTACTGTAGCTTAATGATCCGAGCGTTACACAAGGACTCCATTTGAGCAGGACTGAAGAAGTACCAAAAGAGAAGATCATGCTGATCACCTGAAACTCTATCCCTACTATGTATAGCACAGATATGGGGCTCCCCAACTCTTCTACTACCGCAGCAGCCGCCGGAGAGGGGAGGAGCCCATGGCCTGGCCGGCGGCCAACCAAGGGAGCTTCTCTGCCTCCCTTTGGCCTATTGCGGGAGCGAACCACTGCTGTGAAAGAAAAAGAACGAGCTGTAGAACATGTTTGTTTGTGTTGTGTTTTTAAAAGTACATGCTGAATTATATATACTGATCGACTTATACACACACTATTATTGGTGCTATTATTGCCTACCTCTTCATGCAAGAAAACAAACTCTCTTTTTTTCCAGAGGGTCCTGTTAGTTGAAGTTTGAACACATTAATTTTGTGTGGCCAGATTTGGCATATCCCCCGTGGTGCTAGCAGCTAAACAGAGCAGGGCGGCTAACATACTCCTATAATGCAATCACCAATTATCACAAACAAATACTTCTATCTAGGAAGCAAATGCAAGGATTCCAAGTTTGCCTGGCCATTCTTTTTCATTTTCCATACCCGCAAAGAAAATAAAGAAAGCAACATAAATGGTCCATGTGAGCGCGCTTTCGTGACTAGTACCCTGCGTACCCATCCTTACTTGGCTGTCCACCCATTTCTTCTTTGGATGAGAGAAAAGAGCTTATCATCAATGATCTACCTAAGATTCCCCACTTGCTAATCCAGATATTCTCTGTAAACAGTGTCCCCCAATTATTTGTTTAAAAAACCTTGGACCATTTCCTTTTGTGGGGCACAAGTTAAAGTAAAATAACTCTGCACTTTTTGTAAGCTCAAGAGCATAGGCTTGCACCTCTGTAATGATTTCATCAAGGTTCAAAACATCTACTCCCTCCGTTCTAAATTACTCGTCGCATAAATGGATGTATCTAGAACTAAAATATATCTAGTTACATTCATACATGCGACAAGTAATTCAGAACGAAGGGAGTAGTTGAGATTACGGATATTGAGTTGATTTTAGTGAACCCCAAAATTATTCACGTATGGTTCAAACAACAATAGGTCTTTATATGATTTCGAAGACTATATGTATTCCTAACAATATATATAAGGATCCTATATATAAATGTCATGAGAGCTGAGGCACAAGGATATTTTTTTTGGGTGAGGTTAGGTCTCAATCGATTGAGACATACACATAAGATCTCATGAATATAGCATCAAACAGGATATACCTAAGTCTCGCTCGACTAAGATTTAGTGAAACTGAAAGTTTTATCTTGTCTTCACATGTATATACTGGATTTTTCCCCCTCTGGTACACCAGATTGTACAACAAAAATTAGGTCCCCTTTACAAAAAAGGAGCTACTTTGCATAAGGCACCCTACGCTCTTAATCTTCATTACAGAGAGCACCTCCTGCCGTTCTGCTTAGGCCCCTCATTTTCCGAGGAGTGCAACCAAAGGCCGCCTAATCCGTTAGGTGCAATAACTAGGTTCAACAAGGGCCTCTCGGCGAACGTGTAGTATGTATGTATAGCATGCGGTTATAACTAAGTTGATGCACGTGCGGCAAATCAGCCGCTGAACGGCTTGTACACTTTGAGAGCTTCGATGACGTTGGCGATGGAGCCCGCCGCGGCGGCGATGGAAACGATGAGGCATCCGACGCTGAGCATCCTAAGGCAGATCCCCTGCATGCTCCGGCCGGGCACGCCGCGCTGCCTGATGTACATCTCGACGGGGAAGTAGACGGTGAGCGGCCAGAAGGAGACGGCGCCGAGGAGTCCCACCACGTTGCCGAAGAACGGGAGCAGCATGGCGAAGACGGTGGTGAGGCAGACGAAGGCCGACCGCCACGTCAGCCGGAACACGCTGAGCGCGAATGGCCCCACCCGGAACTCGCGGGAGATGAAGGCGCTGTCTGGCCATGTGGACGCGGCCCAGCGCTCGACGAAGGCGAAGATGGGCTGGCAGAAGACCTGGTAGGCGCCGACGAGGTGCACGACGATGGCCACGTTGGCGATGTCCAGCAGCCAGAAGGGCTCGTAGAATCCGAACCCGGTGAGGAGGTTGTCGGGGGCTGCGTCGCCGAACGCCGCGTACCCCATGCACCCGCACAGCATGTAGAACACCGTCGTCGTCGCCACACTCAGCCGCGTCGCCTGCTTCATCACCTTCGCCTCAGACGGCGGCGGCGCCCTGATCGTGTCCTGACAAACACCCCTATGTCAGCCAACGATAACAAATACAGAGCAAACTAGGAATTACACTCGCTGAGCAGAGGACAGCTCGGTCATGGCTTTTACGTACCTGGATTTCTATGAGGATGTTGGAGAAGGAGTAGGCGAAGGCGATGTCGCCAAATGCCTGCAGGCTGCGCCACACCTTCTGCGTGGCCGTGATACCGACGCCGATGCTGATGCCGGTGAGGCTGCCCTTGATTCCACCATTGGCTGCAATTTCATCGTCTTAAGTACTGTAGGATAGCTTTTTATATACTAATAAGAGGGCAAAAAAGGTACTTTTTCTACCCACTTTTATAAGACGATTTTAGACAATTCAGACGGTACCTAAAACAGTTCAAAGCTAGCTGTCCAAAACGTCTTATAATAACGAACGGAGGGAGTAGTATGTTTGGAGTTCCGACGACATACATATGGTCTGGGTGATGCCGAGGGAGAGTCCAATGCCGGAGTAGGTGAAGGACATGACTGCGGCGACGATGGACAGCCACCATATCTGATCGAAGTCGGGGATCTGCGAGAACACGATCTGCACGAGGCCGAAGAGGATCATGTATGGGTTGCTGGAGCTCTTGCACGGGTCGGCGTGTCCGTTGGCGTGGAAACAGTCGGCCCTCCTAATGGCCCGCATGCTGATGGAGGACGCGATGGTGTAGCCGATGGCGACGCCGACGAGATTGGCGTACTGGATGACACCGCAGAAGATGACCTTGGGACCGCCGAGGTTGGAGCGGACGGCGTCCATGTAGGTGTAGTTGCGCTTCCCGGTGGCCGGGTCACCCGTGCGGTAGCACTCGGCGAGCAGGGTGGAGGTGTAGTAGATGACGGCGGCGAAGAGGAGCATGACAGCGGGGCCAGCTACCCAACCGAGCTGCGCGATGGCCCAGGCCAGCGAGAGCACGCCGGAGCCGATGACGGCGGTGATGATGTGCGCACTCGCCGTCCAGAACGTGCCGGAGCGGCGGGGCCGGCCGTCGTCGTCCATCCACGCCGCGTCCCCGGCGTTCCCGGCCTCCACGGACACCTCCATGGGCGCCACCACTTTCTTGGCGCCGCCGTTGCCTACCGCCATCACTTAAATTGTGCTGCTACTCGACAATCCTCGGCTAGCTTGACTTTCTCGTAGAGAGAAGCTCAGCGCAAGCAGGTAGTTGACGACTTGGAGAGTGGTGTGTTCTTGGCGAGGGTGGAGGCGTGTGCCTGTGTGGGGAAATGGGAGGGAGGAGGGGAGGTGTATATATAGAGGCTTTGGCTTTGGCGCTCCGTGTGAACACTGTTGAGAATCCTAGCCTCCTTGCTTTTGCAGTGCGACTGTTTTGAGTTTTTGTTGACACGCTGGCATCGAAATGACGGCAAAACATAACATAGTTGCCAAGCTGTGCTGGTGTACTTTAGATGACCGTCATGGAAGCCGATTTCGATTTCTTTCTACCGCATGGAACACCTTGTTGATTGCTCATAGACTAATAGTTCCTTCCTTTGAACCTGTACGGTTGTTAGACGTCGAATCTGCGGTCAAGAGCTTAGGTTTAACGCATCATGTACTTACGGTACGCATACTCTGGTACTGTACTGATAAAGACCCAATCATTTATCTCGTCACGTCTTCATTATTGCCAATCAAATTTGGTAAGAATCTCGTGCGCCAAGATTCGATCACATCGCGCACAGGCACGCGGATTCTCCACGGCTCGCCGCGCTAGCGACGTGGGCTGAAACATGACGTGGTGGAGCCTAGCTGGCAGATGGGACGCGGCACACGCTCAAGGTCGAAGCGCGCATGCATGCTCCGAGGTCAAACATGTCCGTGTCAGTCAGCGGTGAACCGTGTCTTCACGCGGCGTTGGCACTGCCCCAAACATCCGCCGCTCACATCGGCCGTATTTGGTTGCTCGTATCATCTACTATTTCTAAACTTAATTTAATTTAAAAGCCATGTTTCGACTGGACGTTTTTGGAAGCCCAACCAGACCTACACACAAAGAAATTGGACTGTTTGATTGTTCATTCCCTATTTGACCTGCATCAAATGGAATTTAAAGCCAGTCCCGCTAGAAACTGCCGAATCAATAGTTTCCAGCAAGTCAACCTCGAGCGCTGCAAAACAGAGCCTGTAGATGGTGCAGAGATTCAATCTGGTTTGGTCTTGGAGAAAATGTGAGATTAGGAAACGTCTTGATCATGCAGTCTGTAATGTAGAGTGGGTACATAAATTCCCTCTTATAGCTGCTATTAACGAAGAACACGTACTCTCGACCATCACCCCTTGGTTTTGGATATAGATAATTTTGACGGCAATTGATGAGGACATCAGTACTACACTTACACCTACACCCCCTGCTGCTACATATACTGGACCAATTACTAGAGCTCACGCATGCCAACTAAATTACAAGGTACGTGTCGGGGTTATGATCCTGACAATGAGTACTAGGGGTACGAATAAGGGGCAGAGACTAGCTATGGCGCAGGTGTAACACTTGGTGTTTAACGAGTTCAGGCCCGTCACTCGGTCGAGGTAAGAGCCGTACGTCTCATGCCCTGAGGCTTGCTTTGATTTGATAGATATGGTTACAGAGATTGAACGTGCCTGGCTATGGAGAGGGGTGCGGCTTATATAGAGTGCGCAGCAGCCCCATGTCTCCCACGCCGCCGAGGCAATTAATGCCATTGAATGAGACAATTACTAGTGTAAGGAGCCTCTACTACAGCAGTTACAGGTAACGGTAGCTAGAACTCTATTTAGTGGATGACTTAGGATTCCTCGGCCGTTGCAGCTCCCACGACACCTCTTGTCCTGTACGTCCGAGTGGTAGTTCATCCGCCAAGTGATGTGTGATTGTCCAAGTGCTACAAGGCCGTCCAAGTGAACCTCCTGATGTATGCATCTGAATGCTGGCATGGTCCAGGGACCTACCTATGTTGGTGATGGGCCCTATGTGGGTCCCAAATGATGGGTCCTTGACCCTACCTGTAATAGGTGACCGCATCATTAGCCCCCGAATCGGTTGGGATTTCGTAGGACAAACAAACCGACCCTTCGGTTGAGTCCGAGTGTTGCAGGGACACTGGGAATATGTTTCCGAACAGTGATTTGTTGTTCCTTGGACGAAAACACAACGGATTCTGGACTTTAGGTTTACCCAGATGACCGGGTGTTGTCGATCGTCGAGAAAAACCCGGTGACATTCGTTTTGTCTCTCGGAGGAGATGGACTAGGGGCCCAAGTGAAGGCATGCCATTACAACTCAGTGGTGACGCCAACGCGTGGTCTGACTCTCTAGAGAGATGCCACTCCTTATCCCAGGGGAACGCCAGTACAGGCCTCCTACGAGTCCAGGTTTACGAGTCATGCGCCTTGGAGCTTACGAGAGGGCCAAGTGAACCTGCAGAGGGGCGTCAAGCTCGTCAGATAACGATCCTAAAGAAGACTTCACTCGGGTGTTTAACGCGGCCAAGTGCACGGGTCCCCGCGGAGGATGGTCAGTCTGACTCACGTGCGTCCTTTAGGAAAGGAATCGCTGGTAATCAATCAGATTGATTTGTCCCGGAACTCTCGGGATTTGAATTTGCATGTTCACGCGCTGAAGCGGTAACGTTGTGCGTTAGTGGGAAAGTGGGAGGCGTGGCTCCTCGATTTGTGCGCACGATCCCCGCCACGTGTTGTGGTTGTCCTGTACAAAACCACGCCGCACGGGCCGTCGATATGGGGATTCACGGTGGGAAATTTGACTGAGGATTTTGTCTGGAGGTATAAAAGATTCGAGGGCAGAGCTCTGGATCTCAGATCCCCTTTCTCTCCTCCCGACTCCTTCGCTTCTCTCCTCCACCGAAGTGTGCAGCAATGGCAAGGGACTCCACAGCCAAGGCGAAGAAGGCGAATAAGGCGGGGAAGGCCACTGTCTTCGGCTCTGGCGCGGCGGTTGGCGGTGCGGCGGGGGACTGGATCCCATCGCGCGTCACCGCTCGGCGGTTGGAGGAGTGATGTCTGCTAGAACTACATCGATATTTCCCCAAAAAGGAAGGGATGATGCGGCACGACGACGGTAGGTATTTCCCTCAGTGATGAGACCAAGGTTATCGAACCAGTAGGAGAACCAAGCAACACTACGTAAACAGCACCTGCACACAAATAACAAATACTCGCAACCCGACGTGTAAAAGGGGTTGTCAATCCCTTTCGCGTAACGGCGCCACAAATTGGGAAAAGGACGAGATAAAAACATGATAGATGGGATAAATAGATCTCGAATAAAATAAATTGCAGCAAGGTCTTTTTTGTATTTTTGGTTTAACAAATCTAAAAATAAAAGCAAAGGAAAATAGATCGCAAAGAAAATATATTAAAGAAGAGACCCCGGGGCCGTAGGTTTCACTAGTGGCTTCTCTCGAGAAAAATAGAAAACGGTGGGTGAACAAATTACTGTTGGGCAATTGACAGAACTTCAAATAATCATGTCGATATCCAGGCAATGATCAATATATAGGCATATATAGGCATCACGTCCAAGATTAGTAGACCGACTCCTGCCTGCATCTACTACTATTACTCCACACATCGACTGCTATCCAGCATGCATCTAGTGTATTAAGTTTGCGGAGAAACGGAGTAATGCAATAAGAACGATGACATGATGTAGACAAGATATATTTATGTAGAAATAGACCCCATCTTGTTATCGTTAGTGGCAACGATACATATGTGTCGGTTCCCCTTCTGTCACTGGGATCAAGCACTGTAAGATCGAACCCATCACAAAGCACCTCTTCCCATTGCAAGATAAATAGATCAAGTTGGCCGAACAAAACCCAAATATCAGAGAAGAAATACAAGGCTATAAGTAATCATGAATATAAGAGATCAAAGAAGACTCAAATAACGTTCATGGATAAAAAGAGATAGTTCTGATCATAAACTCAAAATTCATCGGATCCCAACAAACACACCACAAAAGAATTACATCATATGGATCTTCAAGAGACCATTGTATTGAGAATCAAACGAGAGAGAGGAAGTCATCTAGCTACTAACTACGGACCCGAAGGTCTACAAAACACTACCCACGCATCATCGAGAGGCACCAATGGACATGATGAACCCGTCCATGATGGTGTTTAGATTGGATCTGGTGTTTCTGGAACTTGCGGCGGCTGGAATTTATTTTCGTCGACTCCCCTAGGGTTTATGGAATATTGGGGTATTTATAGAGTAAAGCGGCGGTCCGGGGGGCACCTGAGGTGGGCACAACCCACCAGGGCGCACCTGGGTTGTGCTCGCCTCGGATCACCCCCAGGCACTTCTCCAGCCCATTGGATGTCTTCTGGTCCAAAAAATCCACAAAAAGTTTCGTTGTGTTTGGACTCTGTTTGGTATTGATTTCCTGCGATGTAGAAAACATGCAAAAAAACAACAACTGGCACTTGGCACCATGTCAATAGGTTAGTATCAAATAATGATATAAAATAACTACAAAATGATTATAAAACATACAAGAATGATAATATAACAACATGGAACAATCAAAAATTATAGATACGTTGGAGACGTATCAGCATCCCCAAGCTTAATTCCTGCTCGTCCTTGATTAGGTAAATGATAAAACACTGGTACTCGTCTATAACGCCCTGAGACCGATGCTCCAGATGCCTCCCGTTTATCTCGTTGTCTTTTGTGTGCTTCAACTGTTTGTTGCCATGATTGATGAGTGCCATTGTCATATTTTGCTTCTTGCATCATGATCATCATTTGGTTATATTGCATTGCCATGCCCATCATTGTCATATTGCATTTGTGCCTCTTGTCGTGCTTGCTGGCCTATGCATTTGTCCCATGCATCATCACCTTCTCCTTTTCCTTCTACTTCCTTTTTTTGCAAGTACTATATTTTTACCTTCTCCATTAATGTTCATCTTTTCCCTACAAATATTAGGCCATGCCTGCACCCTCCCTGTCAAATTTCATCTTATTTGGACTTGGTTTGGTTGGGGTAAAAAATGCCTCAAGTTTGATTCAAACTTGGAATATTTTTGTTCCTCTAAAAATGTCCAAACCATTTTTAAAATTACGTGCAT